ATCCATGCTGAATCTGTGTCCTTCACTTACTCTGGACAGCCTCCTGAGTGGGGGACTATGTGAGTCTACATCTGTCCATTCCACTTCTCAATCTGAAGGGCAAGCACTAGAGAAGATATGTGGTGTTTGTGGGTCAGTAATCAAAACTTGGGAAGGCCTGGAATCCCAGCACTTTGGGAGACTGAGGCAGGCGAATCACTTGAGGTCAGGAGTTTGAGACCAGCCTGGCCAACACAGTGAAACCCTGTCTCTTCTAAAAATATAAAAATTAGCTGGGTGTGTAGCTTGCACCTATAATCCCAGCTACTTGGGAGGCTAAGGCAGGAGAATGGCGTGAACCCAGGAGGCAGAGCTTGCAGTGAGCCGAGATTGTGCTACTGCACTCCAGCCTGGGCAACAGAGCAAGATTCTGTCTCAAAAAAAACAAAAACACAAAAACAAAAATTGGGAAGTGATTTCATTATGGTAACTAGCAGGTATGGAACTGGGCTCCTTAAGGGGTTCATGGAGCTGGTGAATGAGCAAAGCTCCATCAGATGGTAAACGAACTTCTGCCAACCTCAGCAAAAACACCCTTATCCCACCCGCTCCCTCTGCCACACCTACCTAACTTGCCAGGGAAAGGTCAAGCAGCCAGTCTGTCCAAGAATATAATGACTAGTTTACTGTTCTCTTGTTCACCAGCCCTGAACAACTGGTGTTGGGCTGGTCCTCTTTGGGAGACATGGTATGTGATACTGTGCTCATTGGGTGGCTAGAAGAAAAAAGGAATATTCATTTTTAAGTGGCATTTTCGAATTGTTTCAAGAGTTGCACCAAATATGCATTTTGGCTGAATGAGTATTAAAATCAGCATTTGGTGGTCATAGCCAAATATTGCTATTGAGGAACTGGTTGGAACACAATAATGAATTTGAAATTCTATCAAAAATTATTTTTTGAGACAGGGTCTCACTCTGTCACCCAGGCTGGAGTGCAGTGGCGCGATCTCAGGTCAGTGCAACCTTCACCTCCCAAGTTCAAGCAATCCTCCCACCTTAGTCTCCCAAGTAGCTGGGACCACAGGTGTGCACCACTATGTCTGGCTAATTTTTTGTATTATTATATTTTTAATAGAGACGGGGTGTCACCATATTGCCCATACTGGAAAAAAATTTAATTGATACCATTTAATCATTACAATCATCAGAATTCTCCTAAGTTTGAGGCTGGGCTGGTATGCTTTTTTTTTTTTTTTTTTTTTTGAGACGGAGTTTTGCTCTTGTTGCCCAGACTGTGGTGCAATGGTGCGATCTCAGCTCACCACAACCTCTGCCACCCGGGTTCAAGCAATTCTCCTGCCTCAGCCTCCTGAGTAGCTGGGATTACAAGCACCTGCCACCACCATGCCAGGCTAATTTTATATTTTTATTAGAGATGGAGGTTTCTCCATGTTGCCCAATCTGGTCTTGAACGCCTGACCTCAGGTGATCTGCCTGCCTTGGCCTCCCAAAGTTTTGGGATTACAGGTGTGAGCCACCGTGCCCAGCCGATATGCTACCTTCTTAGCACCACCCATTGCTTTATTGCTCCTGAAGTATCTGCACGTTTGTAATACTAAATAGATGCTCACTTTTATCTGAGGTTGGTGGAAGGGCAAGTTGCTTTCTGGCTGGTCCTACCACCAAATTGGTTGTTCCATGCCAATAGCAAGGTAAGGACTTATGTCTTCCTTCTCAATTCCTAGACTTTGGGCAGTGCCTCACGATGCCTTCTGAGATGCACTTACAAGACTTGCCACACTGATTCATTCCCAATATTTTGCATGCCTTATATTTTAAAATTCTTACAAACTTTTGTTAGTTCAAGAGTATAAAGTTCTTGAACTTATGCAACATTCTATTTCCCTATTTTATTACTGCAAACTTTCCAAGTTTTAATTTTTTTTTTTTTGAGAGTCTTGCTCTGTTGCCCAGTCTGGAGTACAGTGGCACAATCTTGTCTCACTGCAACCTCCGCCTCCTGGGTTCAAGCAATTCTCCTGCCTCAACCTCCCGAGTAGCTGGGATTACAGGCATGTGCCACCACACCCAGCTGATTTTTGTATTTTCAGTAGAGATGGGGTTTCACCATGTTGGCCAGGCTGGTCTCAAACTCGTGACCTCAAGTGATCCAACCTCGGCCTCCCAATCACACTAGGATTACAGGCATGAGACACTGCACCCAGCCTAGTTTTAGCTTTTTGATTACAAAATTGTTTACATGATTAACTGAGGTGCTTTAATCCTCTAACATATTTATCTTTCAAATAACTGACAAAATTTCTACATAATTCTCACAACTAAAATATTTACCTGTGTTTGAAATTACTGGGATACTTGTAATACATCTGGATGTCAAGCCCATTGGAGCTACAGCAGCTGCTGACGGCAGTCATCTCCGTGATCACACAACTATGAACCATGCACTAATTCAGAGATGCACTAATGAACGTACTCATTCTATTTGAGTCGTAGGCTGAAGGTGTTGATAGTCCATCATTTCCACTCTTTTGAAGCTCATACATCAGCAAGCATGAATGAAAATGACTTCTGCCTGTGCCTGGATCAAGATTTCCTAATAAACGTTCCTGTGTGTTGCCATTGGTTTAAATCTTAGGACTATTCATCGGTCTTATATGAGGGCTGTTTCTGGAATGCTTGTGAGTAAGACAAGTTGTAGATGTTTTGGTGGGCTAATACAATCCCATCGGTAAGCATTCTAGTTATCCCTATTCTGTGGGTGAGAGAAGGAAACCAAAGCCTGGGGCAGAGGGTGCCATGTTCTTCTAGTGTAGGCTGATGTATACATCTGATTTGCAGGACTGAAAAAGTTCTTCTTCATCAAAACCACCCCTGCAGATTCAAGTTAGCCGGTACATGAGGTTGAGTTTTGGGTCTTTTCCTCAAGATAGGAAAATGGAGACATGGCACTTCAAACCTGTACTAACCCACTTCCTGGAAGCTTTCTTTAATGTTCTACCAGACCCAAACATAAGGAAGACATTCCTTCTTTGTTCTGATGCGGATCCTCAGCTTTGTCCCCTCTACTACTAATTCCAGGCGATACTTGGATTACGTGGCCCTTGTCTCCGTGTCTCAATTCACATGGCGAGTCTGCAAACTGCCAAATAAACCTAAGGTTTTTCATGCAGCACTTCCCTGCAAGGTTCCCTTGTGTTTTCTGGCATCATGATGCCTTAACTTCATAGCTTTTATCTTCACTTCCCAGCAAACTGAATTCCCTTGCAAACTCTCATCACAGTCCCACATTGAGAAACGTGACTGATACTCCTTTCCATCAGTTTAAATTCTGTGCCTTCTTCATGGCTCAGCACTCAGTAATTTTTTCCTAGTCCCTGTGCTCCACATCCCATTTATGCGTGTTACTTGAGAACTCTGGCCTTAAATCAAGGTACTTCAAGAACAAGGGTTGTATGTGAGCATCTGTGCCGTCCACTGCAGCTAGACGTGGGCAGGCCTAATTTGTGTACCAAATCAGCGATTTCAATGGGAGGGTATTACATAGATGACTGAGCGACTAAGGATGCCTATCACCTGCCTTTCTGTATGCTGTCATCTTGTGATCAGGAATACTTGACAAAAATAAAACAACCATTTACTAGAATAGTATCACACTAATAATGACAACTTCCTCTTTCCTAGTTCTTTCTTTTGCGTATGCTGGAAACATCTATGATGCTATTCCCTTACGCAGTAAATGCTCAGACATACTTAGCTATCCATGGCTTGGTATCAGGTCATAAGAGGGCCGCAAAGCAAAGGCAGGTGACACTTCAAACTCAGCCAACCAAGATGTGCAAAGACACGGAAGAACTGGGATTGATAAGGCAACAAAAAGCAAACATTTAAGCAAATACCACCGAGTTGAGCATTCTAAAGACACCACACAATTTCACTCAACATTCACAAATGTGAGACAGCTACTGCCATGGACGTTTCATAGCTAGGAACAGTGGCTCAGCATTCAGGTCACTCACTCAAATTAGGTAGGAGGGGCCAGGACTTGGGTTATCACACACACCTCAAGTTCTACTGTCACACAGATTTCAAATTGAGTCTCTCCTAAGGATCTCAGGTCCAAAGACTAATCTTGTCTTCTACTTGACCAATCAATGTTCCTTAAGAAAATTTTGAGCCAGATACCACACTCCAATAATGATATAATCCAAGTACAGCAGCTCAATTTTACAACTTCATAGCATTTTGAAATCCTAGTGTCAATTCATTAACGTTCAGGATATAAAGATGGGCAGAATTTGCCTTTGACACAATTATTGTTCATTTTTTTCTCCTATGGTCAAAGAAGTCTGGGAGAGTATTACATAAAAGTGAAACAGCACAAGTTTGGATATTGTCAATGTGGAGCAGGAAGGTCATGAGGTCCCCCTTCCCTCTTTGATGGGAGCAGGGCAGGGTGCAGATGCCTCAGGACCGGAGCCTGTTAGCAGAGGGGAGTCCACGGCCCTGTGCTGTTCTGTGTCCTTCAAACAGTTCCTCACTAGGTCCTCTGCCAATACCCTCAGGGAGACCACTTTGTAACAGAAAAAAAAAGCTTTCCAAATGACATGCTCTTCACTCATTTTTAGCGTACCTCTGAGAAATTAAGATATATACTTATGACAAAATATGACGTGATACTGTGTTCCATATAAACCAGGGAAGGGGGAACAGATCAAAGAACTGTGCATGAAAATATAGGTGGCTGACTCAGAATAATGAAGTGAGCTGCTTTCAAATTCGCCACTAGGTTCAAGTGAACCAGACAGTAAGAAAACTATGGACACAGACAGATTAATCCCCATCTCCCCAAACGGTAGAGGAGGAGGATCATTCCACCTCATCACTCTGTTACATGAATAGCTGTCTCCAGGTTACAACTCGAAGAGTATTAGTATCTGTATTATAATCCATCTTTGGAAAACAGACTATATGAAAGAAGACAAAACCAAAATGCAACCATGTGGTTTCCAGGGCAATTTATTCAGGAAAATCTATTCAATATGCCATCAACAGTTCTCCTGTGTGTATTGTGCTGATAAATAGACACTGAGAGGATTTAACAAGTTCATCATTTAATAAGTCTGAATTCATTTTCACCACATGGTATTGTACACGGTCATCTGCTGAAACAGATTTCTTTTTTAACAGATCTTAGTTTAAAAAAAGTCATAGATACTGTGAGTTCTGTATAAACTGGTGGACAGTAAGTTAGTTCCTTTGTTTTAACTTATAAGCCTCAACTTCACCGCAGAATAAAGAATGTAGGCCAAAGAAAGCATAATCGGTCACTCGTATAGAACAGTATTGTTTCTATAATTTGAAGCTTTCTGAATGGACGGGTTCAGGCCTGATGCAACTGTAAAAAGATTACTTAATGAATAGACTATATGGAAATTGTACAAAATGTTATTACCTTTAATCATTAGTAGCTTAAACAGCACTCTATCACTAATTGCTATTCAAAATCAAAAACCTGTTTTTGAATCCCCGAGAAGGCAGCATGTGTACACAACCATACCACCTTGTACTTAGGGGCGTGCCAAAACGTAATTCAACAGAAACTTTGGCTTTAGGAAAGAGTCACAAATATTTAAAAGAATGGCTTTAATCGTCATTTTAAGTATACGGTAGGGGGAAAGTGTGCTTTAATTAAATATACATCATACCAGTGATGCTGGCAAGGTTGAAAGTTACTCCTAATGTTGATAGCTATAAAAACTAGTTTGTACATAACAAGACAATGAGAGGAAAAAGCAATCCCTTTGAAACAAAATTATCAAATAAAAAATGTTCACAGTGGTTTGTATCAACAGTATGCATTTTATGACAAGAACATGTACAGATTTGGAGCACCCTAGGGCTCTCTTTATGTCCTAAAGAAAACGAGCATTTACATGATTATGGGTTGTACTGAATTTAAAAAGATCAACTGTACACTTACTCCTTAGACAGGATAAACTGTCCTGGGGTGTACAGCTTTAACACCATCATTAAAATTGTTTGCAAAAGGAAGAGAGAATTAAAAAACAAAACACTTTTCTTTTTGGAGTGAAGAGTCTCTCATTCGCTGTTATAACCAGCAAATGCCATTCACTAAATCAAAAACGGAAGGAAGGGCCCCCACAAACACAGATCTATCTGAGCAAGCTGACCAGTACACATTACAGTCTTAAAAATGAAGGTTATATACTCTATGTTACAAGTCCCAACTAGGCAGTGTCAAAATGACATCTATTTCTTTGCTTGCTTTGTGATCATACCCCTTGGAGGCGTTACAGGTCTTGTGGCATTTGGCTTCTTTTTCTCTGCAGGCTTTAAAATCTGGAGAGATTCAAAAGACAGTTCATTTAGGAAATATACTCAACCCCAAATCTTAAAGAGTCCTTACATTTCATTCAGATCTTTTGTTCAGATGGCGTTTACAACGCCCCAACAACTGTAAAAGCCTCCCTAGCATATTAACACAAGTTAAGTTGACATGTAAACATTTAGTAATTAAGGCTATGATGAAGAGATAAAAATCTATGATCTGGACAAATTATTTTGTCTCTGAGTACTGGTAATATCTTTAGCTATTCCTTCTGATATAGGGGAGAAAGTCCTTTACAAAAGTGTTTCTCCAACCTGCAGGGGATTCTTGCACAATCTTTGGAATTTTGAAAGCTGCAAGTTCTCTGACAATTGGTAAAAAACAACAACAACAACAAAAAAAACTTGCAAATGAGAAAAAGGCTGAGGCAGATTCTAAATAATGCTTTTGTGCCAACTGAAGGCCAAATGATGTCGTGGTACATTAACAGAAGTTTTGTGGAAATTAGACTAGAGGGCAGAACTAAGTAAACACATAGCACGAGGCACTCAGTACTTTTCACATGCAAGTGGTGATTTAATTTTAGCTGAACATTACATTGTCATTATGGTTTTAGATCTACAGTAAAACAGCCATAAAAGCATAAGGAGCCAATATGCAATGCAAAAAAATCATAATTAAACACTGGGAAAAGGTGCCATAATTAATTTTTTCTTTTACAAGGGATCCACACATTATTCAACTATAACACACACTGGTTAAGGGAAAATAGAAACAGCCTACTTAGCATAAATGAACACTAGGCAAAAAGTGGCAATTATATTTTTCAACCAGCAAAGTGCAAACACAGTAAAAGGAAATAATGTTGAAAGCATGCTCTACCTGAAAAGAACACATTAGTGTTTCATCCACACTCATCATGGCACCTGCATTGTCAAACTCTCCACAATAATTGGGCGCAGAAAACAGAGTGACCAACTGCCTCTTTGCAAAAAATTCATATCCATCTTCAACCACCTTCAAGAGAAAATTTTTTCAGTATAAATAGGTGCAAATATTAGGTAAGTAAAACCACGTTTCAGTTTCCCATTGAGCCTGATATCTTGTGTTCCAGAAACACTTTGTATAAATAAGCAATACCTACCCACCAAAATCAACAAGGAGAATCTGTGCTCACACACATGCTCTTAAGTGTACATGTAAAATTCAAAATCAATACCTGATGGGCTCTACATATAAGATCCAAATCATGCTTATGGAGAAATTTTGCAACCACTTCTGCACCAAATGTGAAGGACACTCCTCTGTCATTTTCACCCCAGCCTAAGACATCTTTATCGGGGTCAGACCACAAAAGATCACAAAGAAGACCTTGATCTGGTACATCAGTTGGTCGCATAATTCGCCGAATCTGCTCCATAGATTGAAGATCTGGTGATAAACCTATTCAATGAGGAAAAGAAAAATGAAGAAAGCAAAACTTTTAAAAGGATATTACCCCTTCAAAAGTTCCATTTGTCTACAGAGAAATTCAATAATCCTGACACAAAAACTGAAATCGGATTATATTTTATTTACTTTTGGTTAAAAGAAAAAAACCACACACACACACAGAAAAAGGACAACTGGATACACACTAGAATTATATGCAGTAATGCATGGGGTGCTGCAGGTTTAAACAGTACATGGAGGCAGTTATATTATACAGAACACTGTAAAATAAAATCCAGTGATTTAAAAAACTCTTCTACGGGCTTCCCCAGTTGATGACAATAATGAGCGATGTTACGATTGATGGCTTATAATGACTGAGCTGAGAAGATAAGGATGCTCAGTGAGAGGTAGTTCTCTAGGAAATCTGCACTATTCATAGACCATTAAAATCTACAAGAGCTTATTGTATCGAGTCACAATATGGGATGCATATTATAAGAGTTAAAAACCATGTATCCAACTCTACCAAAACCTGTGTAAGTATAGAAGCACAGAGATAAAAGACACTATGTTGGCTTTTTGATGGCTGATTAATTTCACACCATACATGAAAAGAAATTCTCTTTGCAATTACTATTTTAATTACATTATAGAAAGCACAACCACTGAGCAAAGAAAAATAGCTTATAAAATATGTATGTATATATTTTTAGAGATAGGGTCTTCCTCTGTTGCCTAGGCTGGAGTGCAGTGGTGCGATCATAGCTCACTGCAGCCTTAAACCCCTGGGCTCAAGTGATCCTCCCGCCTCAGCCTCCCAAATAGCTACGGCTACAGGTGTGCACCATTACACCTGGCTAATTTTTAACACTTTTTCTAATGACAGGGGTCTCGATATGTTACAGGCTGTTCTCATATTCATGGCATCAAGCAATCCTCCCACCTTGGCCTCTCAAAAGTGCTGGAATTTACAGATGCGAATTACTATGCCTGGCCAAAATAACTTTTAAAATCCAAGTCAGAGAAAGTTCTGAGAGGATAAAAAACAAACAAGGGAAAATCTATTCACATCTTCAGTGTTCTAGAGGATCCCTGGCACAGCAAATTATGTATTGTTCATTTTATAGTTAAAAATACTTTTCCGAGCCGGGCACGGTGGCTCACGCCTGTAATTCCAGCACTTTGGAACTCCAAGGCAGGAGGATTGTTTGAGCCCAGGAATTTGTGACCAGCCTGGGCAACATGGTGAGAACTCATCCTTACAAAAAATAAAATAAAAATAAACATTTTCTGCTCTATTTTCAATCCTAATTTACAGAGTCTAGAATTCCCTGTAATAAATCAGTTCCTTAAGATTTTTATCCAAGTAATCCTGGCTGTATCGGAGTGACAGTGCAATGCAACACATCAACAAAGGAGAGTGTTCTGTCAGAGGAAGTCATCCCAATGGTAACTCACAAATGTTAAAGTGTTCATCCTTTGGAAGGGATCAAAACCTATTTGGAACAAAAATCAGCCCAACTACCTCCATGACAGCAGAATATCTTCTCATCCACGATGGCTGCTATCGGTAAACAGTTAAAACAGTCTGTGAAAGTTTTCCATAGTTTAATGTTGTATCTTCTTTTACCTGTGATTAAAAAGAGAGTATTACTGTTACGTAGGCTCATTCTCTCAGGATTAACTTCCCCCAAAGCAAGATTCTGGGTGCTTTTTAAGCAAACGAAACTATGTTTTTATTAAGAATCTTAATAAAACCGTCTTATTTTAACACTCTTTTAAAATAAGAGCTGGGCGTGGTGGGTCAGACCTGTAACCCCAGCACTTCGGGAGGCTGAGGTAGGAGGATCGCTTGAGCCCAGGAGTTCAAGAACAGCTTGGGCAACATAGTGACACCCCATCTCTTTAAAGAAAGACTCTCCTGGAGGGAAGGGGTTTAGGAGAGACACATCTGATCTAAAAGCAGTGACTTACATTTTCACATGAAATCTTTTTAAATTCCACAGAAGTATGAAACCAGAATTCCAGATTTGATAATGATTAAGGATTGCCATCAAATCCCAGGAATTATCTGGTAGCATCAATTCTGTCTGAAATCCAGTATGCTTTGTCCAATCTCACTGCAGCTAGTTCTCTAATTCTTAAGGCGATTACGAACTTACACCATGTGGCATTACGACCTTCCTTCTGAGGAAGCCTGAGTTAGCACCCACCCCCCATGTACTCCCCTCAACAACCTACAGATACCAGAGGATCCCCAGGCCTCAGTGCGCTAACAGGAGGCACAATGATCACACGGCAGTGGTACCTCTCACAGGCACTACAGGGCATTTGTTTCCAACACTGCACAGACTCCACATGCTCCCACAGGCCTGATGTCACAGGGTGGTCACGTTCTCTCACCAGCACAGGCATCCACACATTCTGGAGTCAGAGTGCAGTTCTGACAGAAATATGCCACTATGCACTGTTTCTACAGGAAACTGATGTTCTGAGTTTAAAACCTACTCACATACGTTGCAAGAACAAATTTCTCTGGATTAGTTGAGGACTGTCCAATTGTCCAGATGCCTTTGTTTCCTGTACCTTACTATACTAAGCACAATCTTTAAAAACCAACAGTTTGGCCAGGCGGGGTGACTCACATCTGTAATCCCAACTCTTTGGGAGGTCAAGGCGGGCAGATCATCTGAGGTTGGGAGTTTGAGACCAGCCTGACCAAGATGGAGAAATCCCTTCTTTACTAAAAATACAAAAATTAGCTGGGTGTGGTGGTGCATGCCTGTAATCCCAACTACTTGGGAGGCTGAGGCAGGAGAATCGCTTGAACCCGGGAGGCGGAGATTGTGGTGAGCCTTGATTGTGCCATTGCACTCCGGCCTGGGCAACAAGAGCGAAACTCCATCTCAAAAACCAAACCAAACCAAACCAAACCAAACCAAGAGTCTGTCCTTAGTCTCTTCCTGGGGACTACAGGGACATCGAAAGGTTTAAACCTGTACCTCTCCTTTGAGAGTTAGGGCCAGCCCAAACAACTGACCTGAACCACACTTCCCACCCTGTAATGCAAATCAAGCAGTCTAGGGAGTTTAGCACAGGGCTTGAAATGTAATGTAAATTCAACAAATGTTTGCCTTCTCTCTGCAGAGAAAAGTGTTATCTTTTCTCCTAACAATTTCTGGTTTCTCAATGACTGGGTCTAACTCTGTGGGTCACCCTGTTGCGCATTTCTTTAGAGGCTACTAACTCCTTCACTGGAGGGGTTCTGAAAGTTCAACAAACTCCTCCCGCCAGGCTGAGGAGGCTGAGGCAGGAAAACTGCTTGAACCTGGGAGGCAGAGGTTGCAGTAAGCCAAGATCGCACCATTGCACTCCAGCCTCGGCAACAAGAGTGAATGAAACTCCATCTAAAAAAAAAAAAAAAAAAAAACCAACAAACTCCTCCTTACGAAAGGCTGATGGGCAATCTGCAAAAACACCACCTCCCATGTCCAACAGCAATACTACTACTAACCACCACCACCACCACAAGATGAGTATCCTTAATCCAAGATGCTCCAAAATTTGAAACTTTTTGAGCACTCACATGATGCTCAAAGGAAATGCTCACTGGAGCATTCTGGATTTCAGATTTTTGGATTAGGGATGTTTAACCAGTAATTATAACACAAATATTCCAAAATTAAAACAAAACAAAACAAAACAAAACACAAAACTCTGAAACCTGCAACACTTCTAGTCCCAAGCATTCCAGGTAAGGAATATTTAACCTGTATTATAAGAACAGGGCTGCTGCCTTAGCCCCCCAGTGATAGTGACTTCCTCTTTCCCCAAGGTCAGCTTCACTTCTGGATATTTTTTTTTTTTTTGAGGTGGGGTCTCACTCCGTCACCCAGGTGGAGTAAAGCAATGTGATCTCGGCTCATTGCAACCACAGCCTCCCGAGTTCCAGGGATTCTTCTGCCTCAATCTCCTGAGTAGCTGGGACTACAGGTGTGCACCACCACACCTAATTTTTGTATTTTTAGTAGAGATGGGTTTTCACCATGTTGGTCAGACTGGTCTTGAACTCCTGACCTCAAGTGATCCACCCACCTTGGCCTCCCAAAGTACTGGGATTACAGGCATGAGCTACCATGCCCGGCCTTTGATTCTTTAGTTATGCCACAAACTCCAGTTTCTTCTCTTGCCGATTTCTGCCGGCCTCTCCATGAAAAATCAGTTTGCTTCCTCCTTTTGCCTCTCAGCACTTTAAGCGTGGGGCTGTCTCTTTCTCTTCTCTCTTCATATCCTCCCTAAGGCCACCTCAAACCACTAGGAACATCTGGGTCCTAAAAGGTTTAACCAGGGTAATCGTCTAGCTTCCAAATCCTAAGATTCTGAGCCATAACCTGTAATGCAGTTTCCCATTACTGTACATCAGACAGCTCCGGTAGCAGAAATGGATCAACAAACACTCCTGTTTTACCCAACAACATATACCTCAGCCTTTTCATCACATTTGCAAAATTTAAACAAACAAACAAAAAAGAAATGGTAGTATAAAGTACTTATGTACCTGGAAAACAGGCAGTGGTTTTTAAATTGTCCCATGAAAATCAACATTTGAATACAACTTTTCATTTTAATAAAATTAATATATATAATATATATACTAAATGTCTGCAAGCCTTCAACCAGAAGCCACCTATGTCAAGGGCACTTTTATGCCCACAAGTAGACTGGATGGCAAATTGTATCTGCCTGACGGGAGAGAGGATGCTTGATCTATAAACTGTGTTGATGATCAATCAAACAGGAGTCGAAACTGATACCAACCGACACTGATCTTCTAAGTCATTTTAAAGGCCTCTGCATTGAGTAGAAACTGAAACTGATACAGCTAGTATCATTACGTTAGGATAGAAGTCACAACAATGAGGTCAAATGGATTTGAATTCATCAGTGCAAACATGAAAAGTATTTGCTGGGCTAACAGTTATGTAAAAGGAACCCTTTCTTAACTCAAGAGTAACACTTGGAATAAGTATCCAAAACACAATGTTGCCTGGGTGTGGTGGCCCATGCCTGTAATGCCAGCACTTAGGGAAGTTGAGGTGAAAGGATTGCTTGAGCCCAGAAATTACAGGTTGTAGTAAGCTATGATCCTACCTCTGCACTCCAGCTTAAGGCTCTGTCTCAAAAACAAACAACAACAACAAAAAAAACCCACCACATCTGCCTTGTATTTCACTACCTAAGGAGTAGTAACTGGCTTACTGGTACTTCTTTGACACAGAATCCCTGTTAATATCGAATATCTTTCCTGTACAGGTTCAATGGTATCAGTCAGTCCAGAACCCACAGAATTTTTGTCCCTGATCATTCCTGCCACCTCATCTTACCAGCTGGATCTCAAGGACACAGACCAAGCAAACATCCAGTTGTGGGAAAGGGTGGTAGTAGAAGGGCTCAGTCTGTGAATATAATCTTTCTAGGATGCACTTCTAACAAATGTGCTAGCTCACCGCATCTATGTGAATTGAGATGGAAAAACACACATCTGGAGACTCTAAGTTAGGATGTGGTCTAGGGGAGGGCCACAGGGACAACACTTTGCTGATCTCCCTATAATCATATTAGCAAATGCCAACTACCTGAAGTTCCTTAACCACCTCTTCACTCCAAACCTGAAACCCCTTCTGGCAGAAATGAGCACAAAAGGAAGGTGAAGGTAAAGATTCAAAACCTTTTCTGACATAAAACCCTTTATCAAACTGATTATTTTCAAAGTTTTTTTTTTTGATACGGAGTTTCACTCTGCCACCCAGGCTGGAGTACAGTGGTGTGATCTCGACTCACTGAACCCGACTCCTGGGTTCAAGCGATTCTCCTGCCTCAGTCTCCCAAGTAGCTGGGACTACAGGCATCTGACACCACGCCTGGCTAATTTTTGTATTTTTAGTAGAGACAGGGTTTCGTCATGTTGGCCAGAATGGTCTCGATCTCTTGACCTCATGATCCACCTGCCGTGGCCTCCCAAAGTGTTGGGATTACAGGCGTGAGCCACTGCGCCCAGCCTATTTGCAAAGCTTTAAGAACTGTGCTTTGTCAATAGTCAAATCAAAGTGCACCTTTAAATAAACAATCCAAAATGAGTCACAAAATGCGTAAAATACTGTAAAAATAATCTTTATTCAGCACATTTTAGTTTTAGGAAAGTTATTGCCATTCTTCCTGGGTGCGGTTATGCCAGAGGAGAAAAACCATAATAATTTCAAAAACTAATTATTTACACATTGCAAGATTCCATTTGCATGCAATGTTCTCTAGCAAAGACAAAAAGTAGATTAGTGGTTGCCTGGGGGCTACGGTGAGATGGTCGGTTAACTATAAATTTACTACAAATCACTGAATTGTATACTTTCAACAGATTAATTTTATGGAATGAAATTACGTAATAAAGTTGCTTAAAACTATTTAGAATGGTTCTCAGATTTCTACCAAGAATTAAGTTATCTGTGAATACAACAATTTACATCTTAAAGAAACCACTACCATGATCATTATTTCCTAATCTGATCATCACATCATAAAAGAATCCAAGACCTTATTTTATTACAGCAGTAGTGTTCTTTTTCTACCCAAGAGAGAAAAAACTGGCTGGGCGCCATGGCTCACACCAGTAATCCCAGGACTTTTGAGTGGCCTAGGTGGGCAGATTCCTTGAGTCCAGGAGTTTCAGATCAGCTTGGGCAACAAGGTGAAACCCCATCTCTTCAAAAAAATACATGAATTAGCTGAGCGTGGTGATGCATGTCTGCAGTCCTAGCTACCTGAGAGGCTGAGGCAGGAGGATCGCTTGAACCTGGGAGGCAGAGGTTGCAATGAGGTTAAGATGGTGCTACTGCACTCCAGCCTGGGCTGTTAACAGAGTGAGACTCTGTTCCCCCACCTCCCCTAAAAAGCTAAGTTAAAAACAAGTTGATGAAATAGAAAACATGAGAGATGATACCACTGCATCTAAACTCTCACAATTCCTAACAGAAGTACGTGATAACTGTTTATGATAAATATCTTAATTTCAATAACTTCCTGAGATATAGAAAAGTACTTACACTCATCATAAAATCCATAAATTCTGTTGATGCTGGCACATTCATGGTTCCCTCTGAGAAGAAAAAAATTCTCAGGATATTTGATTTTGTAGGCCAATAAGAGGCAGATCGTCTCCAATGACTGCTTTCCCCTGTCCACATAGTCCCCAAGAAACAGGTAGTTGCTTTCTGGCGGGAAACCACCGTACTCAAAAAGTCGCAGCAAATCATAGTATTGCCCATGGATGTCACCTAGAAGCAAGAATTTTGTTACACAGTGTTCCCATACTTACAGCTCAATCCATTAACAAAGCTTTAGAAAGAAATTCTTTAAAAATTCATTGTACAATGGCATTGACCTCTAGTAATGAGAGTTTAATTGGACAGCCAACACTAAGTAATTTCCAAACTGGCATCATATTTAGTTCAATTGAACTTAATAAAATTTTTAAGTATATGTGTATGTCCAGAACCTCACACAAAATTCAACTAATTAAGAATTTATTCTGTGGAAAGGGTTATTATGTCCAGGCATGCCTTCTTGCCAAGTAACATGGTATTCCTTTCAGGATGACTGATCAATATCAGATCCCTGATAGCTCAGTCTCTAGGTACTGTGTCAGCAGAACTGCTGCACTTTTAGCGAGCCTTGGCCCAGTCTGAGCAAAGCACATACACACATACACACGACCCCCATCCCCCACCCATCAATGCATTTAGCTTTCAATTTCTCCCTGCTAGATAATGCCAAAGAACATTTTACTTTTAAAAACATGAACACAGGCCGGGCGCGGTGGCTCAAGCCCGTAATCCCAGCACTTTGGGAGGCCGAGACGGGCGGATTACGAGGTCAGGAGATTGAGACCATCTACACAGTGAAATCCCGTCTCTACTAAAAAAATACAAAAAAATGGCCGGGCGCGGTGGCTCAAGCCTGTAATCCCAGCACTTTGGGAGGCCGAGACAGGCGGATCACGAGGTCAGGAGATCGAGACCATCCTGGTTAATACGGTGAAACCCCATCTCTACTAAAAAGTACAAAAAACTAGCCGGGCGAGGTGGCGGGCGCCTGTAGTCCCAGCTACTTGGGAGGCTGAGGCAGGAGAATGGCGTGAACCCGGGAGGCGGAGCTTGCAGTGAGCTGAGATCTGGCCACTGCACTCCAGCCTGGGCGACAGAGCAAGACTCCGTCTCAAAAAAAAACAAAAAACAAAAAACAAAAAACACAAAGTTTTATCAATGCAAATATGCTATAAGAATATATTACTCAAATGAAAACAGTTTAGTTTTACATTGAGTTAAAACACAAATTATCTGCTTCCATTATGCAGAAAACAGAACCACAAAATCAACATCAAGGAAGTTCTACTTTTAGTTATAACCAGTGTTGCTTTAAACTTAAAACATATTCCTATACATCTATGTAGTTCAGACCTTTCCTTGGTTCTCCATTCTGAGTTTCATTTTTTCTTCTGCAATGTTTATTCCTTCAGCAAAATATTTTTTTTAAAAATCTGAAGTATATCTAAGTAAACTAAGTCCATTAGAGGTATTTATTCTAAAGCTACTATTTAACTTAATTTTTAGTAGTTCCAAGCTATTCACAAACAGGAGAATGATTCTACTAGCTAATACAAGGTCATCAACATATTCTTGACTCAGTTAATCAATCACGTAACCAAAGATAACTTGTGTGCCCCAAACTTACCACATATTTTCAGTGGTGCTTCAAGTTCTAGTAGGATAGGCTGACTGAGAAAGATTTCACGAGATTTTAAACACAGTCCTCTGATTTCATTCTCCTGAAGCTGGACGTTCTTACCAGGCTTGGACCCTCTCACTGCAGAGGAGAAAAACCGCAATTAGTCTAATGAAGCCAAAATACAAAATACAATATAAGATTTAGATAAATGGGCAACAACATGGTTTAACTAGCTTTCTCTGAGTGGCTTCATTTTCAGGACACTTATAATAAACATGGTTTTATTTATTTTTATTATTATTA